TTTATTCTGTCTAGTTCACTTAAAAGAAACCAGTCTTCTCTCTTGAGCTGGGGTAAAGGAAACCAGACTCGGCGCCGTGTTAGCATGAACAGTTTGGAAACCGTTGTAAATGAAAAATGCTAATGATGGCAACTTCCATTAACTGAATGCTTCTTACGGGCCAGCCATGCTCTGGGTTCATTTACACTGATTAGGTCATTGCATATCTCCAGACAAATCTTCCGAGTAGAGGCTATTTTTATCCCTGTTTAACAGATGAGGAAGAAAAAGTTAGGTGTTAGAGCTGGCCCTTAAGCCCTAACGTGGCCAAATCCAAAGCCTGTTTAATCACGAGGTTAAATCATTTTCCCTGAAGCCCTGCTACTATTCATGTTTTAATGTCATGGAGCTGGAAGGGAACTTGGGTCATCTAATCACAGATTCAAACCATACTAAATCTCAAAGCCTTGGAGAATGCATCCCGGCCATTAATTTTTGAGAAAGACCCAGGGAGGAAAAGTCACGGGGCTGCAGCTGCAACGTGGGCCTCCTGAATCCCAGTCCTGCTCTTATTCTGTTTCTCAGGTTGTCATGGAACAGTGTGGACTCTCAGTCTATTTGTCTTGTCAGATCATGGTCTCCAGCAAATGTCTGGATAACCTACTCAGTACCTTCTTTTCGAGGGAAGCACAATGACCCTCCAAAAGCATCCATGTACTTGGGAGTTCCCTGGACACACACAGTTTCTGATGCTCACCACTGTGACTAAGCGTTTGGAAGGTTCTAATCCTAAGGGCACAAAGAAAGTAGAACAGCCCAGGAAACTGGAGTACCCTAGCCTTCTCCTCTGAGGCTGAGGATTGATTTAACATAGCAAGTCCTCTCACACGCTGCATTTTTCAGCCCTCATTTAAACTGGCAGAGGTGACTGGAAATGTGTAAATGTTAAAATGTTATTATTCAAAAGTGCTTGAGAATCCCCATGGATCATCATAGTAATTAAAATGCATCAGAGAAGACCCCTTGCTTCAGCAGCTCACAGGACAAAAGGAAAAAATGGAAAGTTGAAGGGGCTGGGAATTAGCATGCTGGTGTGCCCTGCTGTTCAGTGGAGCGGCGGGCCTGGATATGTGGGGAGAGTGGGGACACAGCCCTCTGTACGTCCCGCCCCCTCTGCTCCTCTCCTGGAAGGGCAGGTGGGAGGAGGGCCGTGGGCAGGGGAGGACGAGCGTTGGAGGGGCTGTGGCACCCCCAAGGCGGGAGCATGGTGACTCTCAGTCGAAGGACGGCCGTGGGCCCGCGGGTTCTCTTCTGGACTCCATGAGCCCTGGGCACAAGGGTCCTGTCTCTGATTTTTCTAATGTAGTTCCACTTTTTCTGAGGCCTTCTCCTTCAGTGTCCAACTCAAAATCTACCTCCTCTGAGAAGCCTCTTGGTTCAAAGTTATCACACACTCGTTACTACTCACTGTACTGTGCATTTGGTTTATACGTTTTTTTAATCTTTGCTTTGAATTCTAGTTGTTTCTGTACAACGCTGGTCTCTTCCAGTAGCTGAGAGGCTGATGGAGCAGAGGCCGTGCCTCCGTCTCTGCATCTTTGGGTGCTCCCTGAAGATGGCCGTTTCGCACACGTGTGCTGATGGAGGAGGGATCACAGCGACAGCGCGGGGCCCTGTTTCTCACTGGGCTGATTCTCATTTCAGCCTTCTCCCTGTCTTACCTCTGGTCACCTCCTCCTGCGTCGAGACTTAGAAGGATGATGTTTGTACTTGGCATGTGCAACAACAACGTGTCAACAACACGTTGACAACCCTTGTGACAACCTGTGAGGAACAGAGAAGTAGTAGGTCTCATCTGTGAACAAAATATGAATAAGAACAGGTGTTAACATCTGTTCGGAGCTGGCATGTGCCAGGCATGGTCTAAATGCTTCGCACATAAAATTCCCATAACAATCCTATGAAATAACTACTATTAAGATCCCAGAATTATAGATGAGATTGCCAGGCACAAAGAAGTTCAGTAATTTGCTTAAGAGCTGGCTTTTGGTGTTGGGGTTTGGGGGAGATCTGGCTTTTGATTAGTGTATTATATTGTTAACACTTTGTCCCTAAGAGACCTAATATTATCCTGATTTTACTGAAGGAAGGGACCGTTGAGTAGATCTTTTCCCACTCATTGATTTGCCAGGAAATCTAGCTTAGCCTTGGATATTGTATTTTATGGGAAAGAGAATGCTAGCTTGTTGAGATCCTCAGGTTCTTAGATCTTGACAAGCTTTTCAGATGCCAAGGTGTCTTTCCTTGGGAATTCCTGGGTGAGTTGTGTCACATAAGAATCCCTTCCTATGATTTCCTCTACTCTGGTGGACTGTGGTTTCTTTAATGGGATTATAGCCATCAGAAATTCTTACTCTTTGCATATTTCCTCCTGCCATAAGTTCCCATTCCTTTTTCTGCCCACTTCCTTCCTCCAGCATCGGTCTGTTAGGGAGCTCCTGGCATCTGTCTCTCTTTCTGCATTGATGGCCCGCTTGAGTGCATGGCTGTTGGACAGGGCCTTCATTGTTGGCGATGCCAGCAGCAGTCAGAACATGCTCTGTGGCCTGGGTTCCAAGGTCCACCCAGGCAGTGTGAGCCTGGCTGGGTCCCAGTTCTGGACTGGTGTTTTTCTTTTGTTGTTGGACTCCCATCTCCTCAAAAAAGTTGTCAAGTAAGGAGCTAGAAGCTGGTGCCAAGGAAGAGAAGCCTGTTACCAGAGCCCTCTTTCACATTCAGATGCGGTCAGGGGTCACTGCCTTCTGGACCAGGATCTAGAGGAAGCTGGCCATTAGGATATGGTCCTGGAGATGGCCGGTTTTCCACTCTGCTTGACTCCCACTTCCCCTAGGAAGTCCCATTGGCCCGAATCACCGTTAGGTGCTTGTGTGGCCCCACCCTCAGCATCATGGGCAGCTTCCTGCACACTGGCAGTTGACTCACGTGGTGTTCATGCCCCCAAAGTCAGGGCTTCCTGAGGCCTGAATGAAGCCATGAAGAACTCATGTACGCAGCACTTCTTCCCTGGAGATACGATCCAGGCTGTTTCAGCCTGTATTCAGTGCTCTGAACTTGACCTTTGGGTTTTGGGTGTGAAAGCCCCAAAGCAGTTAAGAGCAGAGGAAGGAGATGCCAGAGTTCATGCCTCTGGGCTCCGGTGGGTGAGTCCTCAGATCTGCCAAGTGGAGCTCCGTGGCCGCCCCTCCTCGGCCTCTGCAGACCTGCCGAAAGCTGAGCACGCTGTGGACCAAACCATCCTTCGGGTGACGGGCTCAGCATTTGGAGAGCTGGTTATTGGGGTTCTTCCTGAAACACTGACCTAGCACTGTGGGACCCTGACGTCGGGCTTGGGCAGTGCGGGTTGTGTGTGTGAAGCGTGGCCCTCCTCGCCTGACAGCCTTGGGACTGCAGGCCTGCTGATGAGGAGGGGGCCTGCTGTGCAGGCAGGCGTGGGAGAGGCCTCCCTACAGGGCTCTGCCAACCCCGAGGGGAAGCGCGCCGTCGCAGTGTGGTGAAGACGTGCCTTCTCAGCACTATCAGAACATAAAAGGGATTTTTAAGGACCATGCAGGCAACCTGCTTATTTTAGATATTGAAGCCCAGCAAGATGAGATCACTGCCAAGGCCACACAGCGAGAGAGCAGATAGCAGGACCAGAACCAGGTGTGCCGACGCCTGGGTCTCCCCCACCTCTCCAGACCAACCACCGGAGGCCTCAGGGCCTTAGATTTCTCATCTGTAAAAATAGCTGAGCTTGACCCTTTGGGTTCCAGGATCCTCTGATCTCAGGAACAGTTTGGAGAGCTTTGTGCAGACTAGGGAATCGTTTGGTCGGTACTGTACATTTTCACTTACAGAGAAAGTCAGGTTGAACGTTAGCCGTGGAGCACAGGGTTGTCATCTGCCCTGCTGATATGGGTTAAAATCGCTTACAGGTCTGGGTTTGTGCAGGGAGAGCCTGTTCGGCATCTTGGCGCGATACCGATGTTGGACTCTGATTTGGTCAATTATTTATGCTCCCTCAGGGCAGAGGTATTTGGTCCCTTGGGGAGCATACAGTAGTGGCTGGTCTCACGAGCTGGTAGTGTCAGTTTTCCGGGATGTTGGGGCCGTCTCAGGAGCACGGCACATGTCTCTTGGCACTGACAAATCAGACCCTTTTGATTTCAGTGGATCAGCTAAGGTTAAACTTAAACAAATAGGGGCAGCTGGGAGGCTTTGCAAAGAGTGAGATGTGCACATTCTCAAAAAAAAAATAGTCTGTGTTCCCCAAGGAAGGAAGGATGAGGCGTGGAACTCTGAATCGCCCCCCCCCCCCCCCCCCCCCAAAATCTGAGGAAGGAAGCTTTTATTTCTCTGCTGGTTTGTTTTGCACTTTCAGTTAAGGAATTCCAGGAGTTGCAGGTTGTGGATCATGACTTCTGTTCCCCTCCCCACCCCCCCCACATTGCTGCTTGCCAGAGGAAGGGAGGGCGGGTAGCTCTAAATAACACTTTGGCCTTTATGGAAATGTATCAGATGTTCCAGGAGTGAGTCTCGCTTGCTCTTGCTTGCTTGTTGGCGGGCTCACTCTCTCCCTCCCTCTCACTTTTACTCCGTGTTCACTCGTTCTCTCACTTGTGTCCTTTCTGTAGGATATAGTTAGCACCTCCTGTCGCCTTATATAGCAAGGTCTAGTCGTTAATGTTAACAGAAATCTAACAAGGAAGGCTGCCAGATAGCATTAATCAGGCCAGTGTTTGGAATTTCATAAATGCTCTGACTTAGGGTACAAATTGGACATTAAGAACAATACTAAACTGTGTTTTCTGACTTCCTCTCTCCTCTTCTCTCCCTCTGCCGGCTCCCCAGCCATCCAGCTTCTCTCCCTTTTCCCCTGCTTCTGAATTCCTCTGCTCGGCCGTGTGCTCGCTGCATTGGAACTTTGTTGGTTTTTGCCGAGTTTAATTTTGTTATTTCTCTGTCTCTCCGTCCACTCCAAGACCACAGGCGGAGCAGCGGCGGCCGGAGCCAGGACTCTGCAGAGGGGCAGGACGGGCAGGTCCCGGAGCAGTTCTCAGGTCTCCTCCACGGCTCCTCCCCAGTGTGTGAGGCGGGGCAGGACCCTCTCCAGCTGCTCCCTGCCCCTGGCCAGAACCATCGAGAAGGGTCCCCTGCGCAGGGCGCCTGCCCCGAGGAGATGCAGCTGGAACAGACAGGCAGGCGTGTGTCCGGAGCCTCCCCACCCCGCGTGCTGGACCAGAGTAGGAGAGTGGGCCACCCGGCAAGCCTGCCCCACGCCCACAGCCAGACGCACCCCAAAACTTCAACACGCACGGCCTCTCCACGCCCTGGGGGCGCCGAGGAGGAAGGTGACCCGAGCGGGGCCAGGAGCCGAGCCCCTCCCATCAGCAGACCCAAGGCTGAGCTCAAACTCAGCCGCAGCTTGTCCAAGTCTGACTCTGATCTCCTGACCTGCTCCCCCACGGAAGACGCTACAATGGGAAGCCGGAGTGAGTCCCTGTCCAACTGCAGCATCGGGAAGAAGAGGCTGGAGAAGTCACCCTCCTTCGCCTCGGAGTGGGACGAGGTAAGGCTGCGTGTTGTCTCAGGGAAGAGAGCCAGGCTGGCCAAGCCCCCTGTGCTCACCCGGGTGCCGACGCCCAGGACCAGAGTAGGGGCTGCGGCTGCCGGCTTCCCTCACACTCCACCAGAGTGTTTCTGACAGCTGGGAGGGGGCAGGTGCCCTGGAGCCAGGACAGGGGTCTTCATGCCTGCATGGCAGAGGACGGGTCCACTCATGGTTAATCTGCAGGGCGGAGGCCCAGCAGAGCAGGACTGAGGGAGAAGCGGTTCCTAGAAGTGACATGCTGTTTGGAAATATTTGGACCCCATCGGCCTCACTGAGGGAGCCAGGCTCGCCCTGAAGATGCTGCAGCAGAAGTAGAGGACTTTCTGTGAGCCTTCAGGAGGAAGAGGGGAGATGCAGGGCTGGGGGGATGGGGCTGTGGGAGAAGCTGTGGGAAGGGGACCAGAGGGGGATTTTCTGTTTCCCGCCACGTGTGATTCTCCTGTTTTTCCCAGGAAGACCACATGCTCTCCCAGCAGAACCTTCTGCCCAGCCCACATTCCTGGGTTGGTGGGGCAGAGGGCTAGGTGGTTCAGGAAACAGAGTGATTACTGAGGAGAACACATTTGGAGTCTGAGGCCCAGGTTCCTTTCAGAGCCATTGTTATAGAATAGAAGTATGTGCCCAAGTATTTTGCAGTGACCTGTGACCTGTCTTCCTGGGCAGAAGAATGTGTTTCTCAAAGCGTGGTAAACATGCAGGGAATGTTCAAGTGCTGCCCTCGCAGGCTTCTAGCTGGGAGGAAGCTGACTCTGAAGCGGACTGGATCTGTCTCCCCGGAACATTTCCACAAGATGAATTTAGCTCTCGGAGAGGAGGGGACCACTGCAGCTGGCGTGTCCATTTGAACATTCTGTAGACTAAATGCCCTGCCCAGCCCATCCGGGCTGCAGCTGTAATAGCTATGTAAACCAAAGCTAATCCCATTCCCAGGATGGGAGCAGGGCGGGGCCAATTCCTCCAGCACTCATCTCCAGATAAGATGAGGTTTAGGACTGTTTAGTCAGGGACAGGAAGATCCTGTGCCAGAGAAAATCTTCACTGTTTAGCAAACCCGGATTTGGTGGTGAGCCTGTGTGAGATGCCAGGCCACTTAAGGAAAGGTAGTTGGTGTTGGAGAGCGCCTGTGCCCAGGAGACGACACCCAGGAGAGTAGGGGCTTGTCGGGGTGTGTGCTCTACCTTTGTTTTTCAGAACAGAGTTTTTCTAACTTACAGTCAAGTGTGGGATAAGGCAGCTTAAGAGTAAGAGACAATATTCTCTGAAGTGGCAGGAGAAATCAACAGAGAAGAGCATCAGTGGGAGTGGGGTTGGCAGAGACGAGGCGTATAAGAGGGCAGAAAGGGGGCTTCAGGAAGGGTCACAGAGAAGTGGAGTTGGACGTGGACTTCAAGAGCCAGGTGTTCTGGTTAGAACCAGATTGGAGCCATGGGATAGAGAAAGGACATCGAGGTGGAGAGAGCAGGTCCGCGAGGGCGAGGGTCTGGGGGAGCTTAGGTCTCGTGGCTCCTGTAGAGTACAGAGTCTGTACGAGGAGCGGAAGAAGTAAGGGCAGAAGGTGAGACTGGGACAGAGAGTGAGAGGACTTTGAACGTGAGGCTGAGAAGGGAGGGGGTGATATGGCATCCCGGCAGTGTCTCAGGATTCTTCACAGGGCTGCTGGTCCAGCCTGACGAATCACGCCTTCCTTACGTCTCATCCTGAGCACATCCTCCACCCCAAGCGGTCAGCAGTGCTGGACGGTCCTTCACAGACTGTCCGGGCCTTGTTGGTGTACAGCACTGCCAGGCAGAGTTAGGGCTCCACCACTTCCTCTTGGAAAAGAAACACAAAGTCACCGAGGCACAGCCAGGCTTAATTGAAGTTGCCTGTTGAGTCTCCTGACATCCTAATGAGAGGAGGTGCTGATACCGTCTTGGCGGGTAGAGATTGCTGGTGGATACAGGGAACCCAGGGACTCTTGGGCCAGGCAGTGGTGAGGCTAACCACCAGAAGCACTGCTACGTTTTAAATTTGAAAAAACTAAAGGCAATTGAGGACTTGTTGGAAAGCATTCAGAAGATGAAGCTTTGCTTGCATAGTAAACATTAACAGAGCACTTTATGTTTAACCCTTCAGTATTGTTTTGAGCCATATTATACTTGGTTTTGGGGGATATCTCTATCTAAAGAGAAAGTTGAGGAGTGTTTCTCACCCTGTTTGGCCCTAAATGCATGGCTTGGCAGACTTCCCTAGAGCAGGGCATTAAGTAATGGCTGCTCACCACCCACCCTGACCCCTGCCTGAAGGCTGCTTTGCCTGTATCCTGTGCTTAACAATTTTATTTTCTTTGTCATCATTAGCTCTCCAAGGGGTCAGGAAGGCTGCCCTGAAGGAGCGTGGGCCCAGCTCAGCTCTTCGCCAGGGGGGCCAGGAGGAAGAGGGGGGCTCTGGGGCAGGACAGCTGCAACCCCTGCGCAGATGGGGTTGCCCGTGGGTCAGCCGGGCTGATCCTGGAAGGCCGCGCAGGGCAGCACGTGGGGCCCCACTCCGGAGTCAGTAGACCTGGCTCCATCAACTTCACTCCCGTGTGGGAGGCTCCAGGAAGCCTCGGAGTGGTTACCCTCATTTGTGAAACAGAGGCAGTCAAGTCTGTGTTTCAGAGGTGTTTTTACCAATTAGGTATGTTTCAGCAGTCAGCACAGTTCCCAGTAGGCATAAAGTGTGGAGTGAACGATAGATATTAATATTGTTATTGTGCCTGCAGCTTTGGAGGGCCAGAACTGGGGTCTGGAGCGTCTTCAGAACTTGAGGAAGGCAGAGCTTTGGGGGAAGGGTCGGTAGAGACTGGAAAGTTCAAGTGCTTCAGTCTCCTGCCTGACTCTGCCCCACCCAAGACGGAAGAGCCCGCCCCTCCTGGGAGAGGAGGGCAGGTGCCCTACATTGTTCTTTGAGAAATTAATGAGTTTTTCTGCCCGATTCCCTGAGAGGGAAGAGGTTAGAGAGCAATCCGCAGCCTCTCTCCCCTTTATTGTTCCGATGTCCCTTCTGCGTCCGGGCCTGTGTGGCCACTTGATTGGCTGGGTGTGGGGGTGATGTATGTTGGGCACATGCACAGTGGACGGTCACTGTTTTCGCATGCAGCCTGTTCCTTACAAGTGTTACTGTGGGCCCTATTGATCGCCCTGGACCGAGGATTCTAGAAAGTTAGCCTGGTTAAGAGCAACCTCTGAGACAGTGGCCACTGGCGATGCTTGTATTCCCCCTATTTTCTGTTGTTTCTGGTAACAAAGAACTAATAAGAGTTTGCTTTTAAGAGTGCTCAGCCTAAGAGGCGCTGTAAATCCCATCTTCAGTAGACACTTTCTGTGTTCTCCACTCAAATCAGCACCTTCTTTGTCTTAACAATCCCTTGTGGCATCATAGAAGGTAAACTGAGAGGCTGAACATAAATAAAACTGTAAAATATATAGATAAGAAGTGGGAAAATCACCCTTCAGCTCTCTACAGTTAGTCCCTGTTAATGTTTGATATATATCCAAATTTGAGATCTTAGTACATTTGCTGGTCTATAATTTGCTTTTCTTACCTAATGGCTGCATATCGGGGATGGCTTGCTGTGGCAGTGTCGGTGAGATCTGGGTTCAGGTCCTCATTCTGAAAAGCACAGTATCCTGTCTCTGCTTATATCATCGGCTTAGTTTGTTCTTCTAGCTGCTCTCTGGTTGTTAGACGTGGTGCATGGCGTCTTCCATCTGCCCTTCAGTGTGTTCCCCACCCTCTCTCCCTGCCTGTGTGCCCCCAGAGTGACCCGTGTGAACTGCATCCCTTGGCCAAGGAAACCTTGGATTGGCTGGGTTGCTCTACCGAAGCCCCACAGCCCTGTGAGAGAGAGACCCTGTCTCAGTAGCTGTTCTCTGTGCATTTTGGTAACATTCCCTCCCCCAGACCCTCCAGGTCTGGGACTCCATCCTTGATCTGCTCTCTGTCCCCAACGCAAACCTGTGCCAATAATCCCTTTATTTAGCTCCTTCGGTTCCCCAGTTCGAATGTGCCTTCTTTTTCCTGCAGGAATCATGAGTAATACAAACGTTTCTAGCACGGTTTCTGTTAAGTCTAAACAACCATAGATGGCTGTGTGCTGGAGCAGTCAACGTGACTCTTGCATGTAAATTGTAAATTAATCTTCATTTGCAGATGAACCAGAAGGCGTGGTTATTCAGGGTGCTGGGGAGTAGGAGAAATTCATCATTTAACTGGAAGCCTTTCCCACTTCCAACTCTAGGGAAGAAACCTGTTCTGCTTCCACACGGTTGGCAGTGTCGACAGCATTTCAGCTGTGTGTTCCTGCATCAGCTCCCTAGATGTATTTTAATCCTCTGTAACTGCACTGCACAGTGCACCCATAGGTACACACACACACACACACACACACACACACACACACACACACGGCAGTAGCAATTGGTGTCTGGTCAGATAGTAGTTTGAATATATAAAAAGTCCTAAGGGATCAGATAGGTCTCACTCATACCTGCCTTTGAATGGGATTGAAGCTCTGGAAAGGAAAAGCCACAGAAGGCCGCTGGTCTACTTAGCATAAACGCTTGAGTCATTTAGAACTTAGCTAAAGGCTTAAGTGATGAATTTGTGTTTTATAATCAGCTTTCATCAATATTAAACTAGTGAGAGATGGGTGAAGAACAGGGACATGCTTTGCATTCATTTTGCGCAAACAGTAATCTCTGGCCAGGGGTTTGGGGAGTGTCCTGGTTTTGACTGAAATGGTAGCTGCAGGGACCTTGAGTCCCTCCACGTGGAGTGAAAGGGCAGCAGCCAGGAGGGCACTTCCCAGGCTGGGTCCCAGATGCTTTTCCAGCAGGCTGTCCAGTTGGAGGCATGATGTCATCGAGAGAAATGCTGATTGGTTCAACTCCACAGAGGCTTTGCTTGCTTTTAACCCTTGAGGGTCAGGTGTGCAA